TGCTTCCATGGCATCTTGGGGAACCTTAAGTCCCCGATCATGTAGCCCCTCAATCCAACCCAGGTCAGGCACTTAGGAGTTAACAAAGTCCCACATGCTCATTTGACAGGCAAGTCAAGATGCAGGGTTCCCACACCACCAGACAGCTGCCTGTCACAGAAGCAGAAGTGAAGATGCAGACTGTGACTGTTTGCTAGGCGGCTTGGCGACTTCTGCTACTGTGTATGCTAAGTGCCAAATACCGCTGGCAGCAATAAATACGCTACTTATGTATCTACATGTGACTTTTCCTTCCACCTCACTTTGAATCCGATGACTAACCTGACTTTGTAAAATAGTCTCAGAAGACCCACAAAGTGAAAGGGAGGGAGAAAAAGTACTTTAAAAAGACAGAATTTTTATCTCAAAACAGCTTAATGGTTTTGGTGAAGGTAAGCCTGACACACATCAGAACTAGGGGTCAGACATTCACTTGGTGCTTATCAGCATTTTACTCAAAACTGAGCTGCCCCACTCCAGGAAGGGCAGGCTAAGGCATGAGCCATGTTGCTCCTGAGACAGAAAGAATGTGGGGCACTGCAAGCCAGTCTCACTCTCTTGTTGCCTTTGGAGCATGGGAAGATGGAGGCTAATTTTTCGGGGGGAGTGGAACGCAGAGGTTTCCTCTGCCTCCTCTTGCTGCCAGTTCTCCAGGGTTGTGCCATGGGTGGAGCGAGTGGTGGGGCTCTGACCTTGTAGGGCAGAGGTAGCTGTGCACCCCTATCAAAACCAAATCAAGCATCACTCTCACACAAGTAGATGAGTCGCGGTCACTTTGTTTTCTTACCTGCAGAGTAGAGATCACTTCGTCTCCAACTTCCTTTGTGGAAACAAGGTAACGGGACATTTCAGGGTTAATGATTCGGTCTTCTTTCTCCCAGCGGACTATGATGGGTTTTTCTCCATGTGCCGTGCAGCTCATCTCCTTCTTTTGACCTTGCGTTGCCAAGGTGGTGTTTGGATAGGAAGTTATCATAGCTGGAACTAAAAACAGACAAAACAAAAAAAGATCATTCTTCATTGAGCTGACTAGTCTGATGATACAGAGTTGGCCCTTCAGTCTGGGTCTCATTCAGCTTGTCCATATTTGACCAGACAGCCAAAAATGTGAGAAATTATTTTACTTCCATTCCTGCGTAAGAGAATTTTCTTAAGATTGAAGATGAGTCTCAAGGGGAACTTAGCAGAGAGGAGCTGGGATTGGATAGTAGGGCTGTAGAGACAAGAATATGCGAATCTGAAGGAAGCTTGGCTCCATTTGTTTTGCTGCTCACAGGACAACTTGTAACATAATTTAAATACTCACAGTACATAAAGGTACTGTAAGTAATAAGCATTCAGATATGGTGCCAATAAAGAACCAATAAAAATTTCTTATTTCTTCTGATGAGCTGCTGTTTCATCTGCTGACAGATACATGTTCTACCATTTTGTGTGACAGTAATGACCCATCAAAATGAGGGCTCAATTAAACAAGGAGCTGTACAAGATTGAAAGAAAGGCTCTGCACCAAAGAGCTTACAGTCCATGTATGTGCTGAGTGCATAGTTAAACTGTACTGATCTGAAAGTATAATTAAACTGACAATTAACCTAGCTAGAGTTGAGTTTTTATTGTATTCAGAAAGTATTTGCAGAACAGTTTGGTTATAATTTTTTATTAATCATTCAGGACTTTAAAAAATTCTAATGTTGAAAAAGTACTCTTGCTAGCAAGAATAGGCTTAAACCCCAACTATTTTCACATTTTGGAATAAATTTTTTTCTGGAAATAAGAAGAAAAATTCCCTCAAAGTGTTTTACTGCAAACCCCTCAAAACATGGCATTTTTGAAAGAGGATGGTCTCTTTGGTGTCCTCAGTATTCTGTCCTTTCCTTCCCATATGATTTGTCCACCAATGAACAGCTTCCGTGCACTTGTGAGCAGGAAAAATCAAAGCCCATGAGCCTGTCTTTCAGTTCTGGCCCTCTCCCTGCTTGGGAGAAGCTGGAAAGCCCTGGAAAGCACACAGAACTGCTGTCTTCTGAATGAACCTGTCCACACCTTTCAAAGCATATGAGCTGGCAACAGAGTCGCTTCTCTAAGCTCTTTCATTCCAGGGCTGCCTCCTGCAATAGCCCCACTCTCCTTGATTTTACATGTAAACACTTGCCTCAGAACAACTCACTCATTCCATCTGAACTTCTCTGGGTCTCTAGTTTAAGAAGATAACATTGGTGCAGGACCTCATTTGAGGCCTTCCCGGTCTTTCCTCCTGCATAGATTGCATCTATTGCTACAAGACAGCAAAAAAAAAATCCTTATTCAAATGAATTAGTATAATTGCTATTCTGAAATATTAATGTTTGGTGGCATGACCTTTTCACATGCCAGAGCTGTTGATGCTTGGATACGACAATATGTCAGGATGCAGGCCTTTCTGTTTAAAGGCTTCCTGAACCAAAACAAGCGAATTTGAAAATTAACAGGGCTGTGGAGCTATGAGTTAGAGTTATGAATGAGATTTAATTACAGGAAGAACTCTTAGAAAGGTCTTGCATGAGACATGAGGCTCTTTAGGCACTGATATACATTGATGCTGAAATACGTCTTGTTTAACTGTTTGGATATTAGGTACCGATGAGTTTTGTCAAAGAGGGGCATTCAAAGAGAAGAAATGATGCGTAATCAGAACAGAAAATTAGAATGAGTCTGATTCCATCTTCCAGAGAATGAAAATAGCTTCAGTTTTATCTGGTGTCTGTCCAAGTACCAGTACCCGCAAGGAGGTTACTTTCAGAAAGTCACTTTTTGTGGCCATCTGCTTGTTGCTTCCTAACACAGAAGCGAGGGTACTAGGTCTATGCAGCTACAGGCCTTTTGGCCCTATATGTGCAGATATGTGCACTTGAACATATCTGCTGTCATCTGCAACACGTGAAATAGACCAATATATCTTTTTATGCATTTTGTTCATCAGTAAGAGACCCAATTGAAATGAGTGGCAGACTATTAAGGAGTCCATATTACCATCATTAGCCTGAGCCACCGCCTTTCTTCCTTCCTTCCATAATGTCCCAAGTTTTTCTGGGGACAGAGGGAGAAGATGCTTAGCCCATCTGGGAGCTGAGGGGTACCGTGTGCCTCCCCAAGAGGTACCTGAGTTCCTGGGGTGCCCATGCCACCAGGCAGGAGGGCTCAGAGTTCAGAGCAGGTGAGCCTTGCACTGACAGGTCTACCCTCCTCCTGCTTCACAGTAGGAGCACACAGTGTGCACCCAGAGAAAACGGGATGTTCGGATTTTTTTTTAAAAATCCCATAGACCTTGAGGAGCCCATCTCAGAGACTCCTTCCTCACTTTCAGGTCTCCTAAACAGTTGTCTACCAAGAGTCCCCTGATAGGTGACCGTGCCAGTCCAAACACTGTGACTATCTTGCTTGAATTTTAAAAAACAGAGACTAGCTTATGAAGCTCAATATTTTCCCAACAAACTTTCTTAATAAAAGCAGAATAAAAACATGTAAAGAAAGATGACTTTATTCCTCAGATACAGCTTTATCCCTGCTTATCCTTCCCTTCCTCTCACATAATCTTCCACACAGATTCCTTATTGCCATAGCAATGCCTCACAGCTAAATATTTTCCCTTCCTCCAAAGCTGATTTTTTACTCTTCACAGTTTATCTCCAATGATCCTAAACCATAAGCTCTTCTTTTCATCTTCCTCTGTGTCAAAAGATTTCTGGTAACAAAGCCACATTCCCAAGGATATTTTAAGCAACGTATTTCTTCATCCTCCAACTATCTTTAATCAAATTACTGATGCAAATAACTGAGATAAATATGCTGTCTCTTTAATGACAAAATAATCTAGAAAACTGTAAATAAGCAAACTAAATCTGTACTATATATGCATGCGATATTCCCTCAGGATGTCTTAAAAAAAAAAAAATGAAGGCATTTAGAAATATACCAAGATGATTCAGATGCCATATTAAGTGTGTGTATCCTTTATATCTCTTCAAATATATATTATATACACACACAAGTAAAGATATGTATCTATATAAAAGAATTTTGTAAGGGAAGGGCATGTTGCTGTGCATGTTCAAGGAATGCATAACATCAAGTTCCAGGATTTTGGAGCAGGCTTCCCTCTGGGACAAATTAACCAAATTCCTCTCTGGGCTTCTCCACGTCTTTCTCTGAAGCATGCCATGCGATCCAGGATATTGTTAAAGGTCTGTTGGTCAAAACTAGATAAAACAGAAGGTACAGTCTATAGATTATGGTGATTTCCATTTTCAAGGTATGCATAATGCTGCCAACAGCATTAATCTAGGAGATTTCTCTGTTTAAAGTTGGGCTTCCATTTGGAAAGCTGTCTTGTTTATTCCTTTTCCCAGGTCAACCTGTTGTTTTCCCCTTTCTTTGTGGCAAACCAGTAAGGAGAGTCTCATTGCTTTATAGCATTAAAACTTCATCATTAAAAATCAAAGTGCAAAATTCAGCAGTCAAGGTTACTCTTAAGAAACACAAAACTGGCTCAGACAAAACAAGAACCTTCTGTGCCACTCTTGAAGAAAACTGAACGTGGACCTTTCCTGAGATTCAGTAAAAACTACTCAATCTGACTTTATTTTCTCTGCTGAGTGTTTCATCAGGAAACGAATGCAAATAGAAATGAAAACATTTAATTACCATGACAAAGACTAGTCTCATTATCCAGAATAAGGAGGCTATAGTAAGTTAGGTGAAGCTTGAGCTTGAATCCTTTTAGAATAAACCTTCACAAATTAGTAGAAAAACAAAATTCACATTCATTTTAAAAATTATGTGTGTGTGGGGGGAACTAACTATTTTTTCTCTCTTTTAGCTCATAGATGGAAATAGCACACGGGAAGAAAGCGAATTAAAAGCTTCTCTATCTTTTAATTTGTAATTGAACACTAAATAGCCTTGTAGCATTCATAAATGATTCTAAGACTGACTGAAGTTCTCAGTATGTTTAAGAACCATAGCTACCTGTGGTCTCCAAATGCTCTTTCTCTAGCAACCTGGCTGTGGTGAGAAGAGAGGAATACGAAACAGCCAGCACTACAATTGATGGGGAGATGTCATGTGACACTGTACAATGGTGTTCTGAGCTGTATTGAAAGTTAGATTGCTGATCATAGCCAAATATTAATGCAGATTCAAGTTACTCTTGAGAAAGAGGATGGAAAAGATGCAGCAGGTACACAAATATAATGATATAGTGATCTGGAGATAACTGAACACAGTGAGAATTTGAGAGTGTGCTCAGTAACAAACATGTCCTGCACTCTGTCAGTGATGTGACTCCTGCCATATCAACATGCCTTACCATGTCTCTGTTTCTCTTGGTCTGAAGATCTCTGCCCTGGCAGAGTGTCCTCTCACATAAACTGGCTCCTTCACTGGAGCATCCTTGAACTGGCCAGTTTGGAGAAATGTCTGTCACCATAGTGGGATTCATCTTGTAAGTATCTATGCCAAGCTAGGCATCGTAGACCTCCTCAATAGAAAGAAAGATACTTAGAGAGTGCTGTTCATCTAAGCAGGTGAAGTGTGCCCCACAAAAGCCTCGTCTTTGCACTGATCATTCAGGAACCTGCAATGCCTTGCTCAGTTGCAGGGATGTGCAGGCTAGTGCTGTAGTGAGGGAAGATGAGCGCTGTTTTTTTCTTGTACAGCTTCTAGAACAGAGGACTATAGCCCTTTGATGTCATTTAAACACCCTTGCATAAAAATAATGTCATGAATGAGGATAAGAGTTGTGATGGGAGAAAACAGCATTAAAGTTGAAATGAATATATATTGAAAAAAAAAAAACGAATTAAAAATCCATTTTAACATTTAAGCTGAATTCAGCATGTCCTCTCGTGCTGGTCAGGAACAGTGAGAAAACTCTTCTGACCGTGACAAATGAGATTTTTCTCCCTCAAAACCAAATTCCCTCTTCCTCAGTCCACTTTTGCACAGGC